TTTTTTCCTTGTAAATTTGTTTGAGGTCTTTGTAGATTCTGGATATTAGCCCTTTGTCAGATGAGTAGATTGCAAATATTTTCTCTCATTCTGTAGGTTGTCTGTTCACTCCGATGGTAGTTTCTTTTGCTGTGCAGAAGCTCTTTAGTTTAATTAGATCTCATTTGTCAATTTTGGCTTTTGTTGCCATTGCTTTTGGTGTTTTAGACATGAAGTCCTTGTCCATGCCTATGTCCTGAATGGTATTACCTAGGTTTTCTTCTAGGGTTTTCATGGTTTTAGGTCTGACATTTAAGTCTTTAATCCATCTTGAATTAATTTTTGTGTAAGGTGTAAGGAAGGGATCCAGCTTCAGCTTTCTACATATGGCTAGTCAGTTTTCCTAGCACCATTTATTAAATAGGGAATCCTTTCCCCATTTCTTGTTTTTGTCAGGTTTGTAAAAGATCAGATGGTTGTAAATGTGTTGTATTCTTTCTGAGGGCTCTGTTCTGTTCCTTTGGTCTGTATCTCTGTTTTGGTACCAGTACCATGCTGTTTTGGTTACTGTAGCCTTGTAGTATAATTTGAAGTCAGGTAGTGTGATGCCTCCAGCTTTTGTTCTTTTGGCTTAGGACTGTCTTGGCAATGCAGGCTCTTTTTTGGTTCCATATGAACTTTAAAGTAATTTTTTCCAATTCTGTGAAGAAAGTCATTGGTGGCTTGATGGGGATGGAATTGAATCTATAAATCACCTTGGGCAGTATGGCCATTTTCATGATATTGATTCTTCCTATCCATGAGTATGGAATGTTCTTCCATTTGTTTGTGTCCTCTTTTATTTTGTTGAGCAGTGGTTTGTAGTTCTCCTTTAAGAGGTCCTTTACATCCCTTGTAAGTTGGATTCCTAGGTATTTTATTCCCTTTGAAGCAATTGTGAATGGGAGTTCACTCATGATTTGGCTCTCTGTTTGTCTGTTATTGGTGTACAAGAATGCTTGTGATTTTTGCACATTGATTTTGTATCCTGAGACTTTACTGAAGTTGCTTATCAGCTTAAGGAGAGTTTGCACTGATATGATGGAGTTTTCTAAATATACAATCATCTCATCTGCAAACAGGGACAATTTGACTTTCTTTTTTCCTAATTGAATACCCTTTATTTCTTTCTCCTGCCTGGTTTCCCTGGCCAGAACTTCCAACACTATGTTGAATAGGAGTGGTGAGAGAGGGCATCCCTGTCTTGTGCCAGTTTTCAAAGGGAATGTTTTCAGTTTTTGCCCATTCGGTGTGATATTGGCTGTGGGTTTGTCATAAATAGCTCTTATTATTTTGAGATCCGTTCCATCAATACCTAATTTACTGAGTTTTTAGCATGAAGGGCTGTTGAATTTAGTCAAAGGCCTTTTCTACATCTATGGAGATAATCATGTGGTTTTCGTCTTTGGTTCTGTTTATATGCTGGATTACACTTATTGATTTGCATGTGTTGAACCAGCCTTGCCTCCCAGGGATGAAGCCCACTTGATCATGGTGGATAAGCTTTTTGATGTGCTGCTGGATTCAGTTTGCCAGTATTTTTTTGCATTGATGTTCATCAGGGATATTGGTCTAACATTCTCTTTTTTTGTTGTGTCTCTGCCAGGCTTTGGTATCAGGATGATGTTGGCCTCATAAAATGAGTTAGGGAGGATTCCCTCTTTTTCTATTGATTGGAATAGTTTCAGAAGGAATGGTACCAGCTCCTCCTTGTACCTCTAATAGAATTCTGCTGTGAATCCATGTAGTCCTGGACTTTTTTTGGTTGGTAGGCTATTAATTATTGCCTCAGTTTCAGAGCCTGTTATTGGTCTATTCAGGGATTCAACTTCTTCCTGGTTTAATCTTGGGAGGGTGTATGTGTCCAGAAATTTGTCCATTTCTTCTAGATTTTCTAGTTTATTTGTGTAGAGGTGTTTATAGTATTCTCTGATGGTAGTTTATATTTCGGTGGGATAGGTGGTGATATCCCCTTTATTATTTTTTACTGCTTCTTTTTTTTCATTTGTTTCTTCTCTCTTTTCTTCTTTATTAGTCTTACTAGCAGTCTATCAATTTTTTTTTGATCTTTTCAAAAAACCAGCTCCTGGATTCTTTGATTTTTTGATGGCTTTTTTGTGTCTCTATCTCCTTCAGTTCTGCTCTGATCTTAGTTATTTCTTGCCTTCTGCTAGTTTTGAATGTGTTTGCTCTTGCTTCTCTAGTTCTTTTAATTGTGATGTTAGGGTGTCAATTTTAAATCTTTCCTGCTTTCTCTTGTGGGCATTTAGTGCTATAAATTTCCCCCTATACATTGCTTTAAATGTGTCCCAGAGATTCTGGTATGTTGTGTCTTTGTTCTCATTGGTTTCAAAGAACATCTTTATTTCTGCCTTCATTTTGTTATGTACCCTTTAGTCCAGTCTTCTCCTTTCTCAACACCCATTCTCCGTGACTTTCTATTGCCTTCAAGATAAATCAGAATGTTTGTACTAAATGTGAACCTACCTCAAAGACACATCAAAGTGTGTGGTTTCCTCTTCATTTGTAAGCTCATCCCCAATTGTTCACTAATAATCTTCTCTAGCCAAATAATATGTTACCACTTATGCAACTGTCCATCTTTCTTTTTCAACCCTATTGATTTTTCAGTTTTCCAGCTTTTACAGCTGTAAAATGAATTACCTGAGAACTTAGTGGTGTAAGTAAAATTTGTTATGCTTACTAATTCTGTGTGCCAGGATTTTAAGAGGACATGGGGGACAGGTTGTCTCTGGTCTTCAGTGTCTAGGGCCTCAGCTGGATGACTCAAATGCTGGAGGCAAAAGTCGTCTGGAGGCTACTTCAATCACAAATTTAGGGGTTACACTGACTATTGGCTGGGGGCCTCAGTTCCTCTTCACATGGGTTCTGCATGAGAGTCTCCTTATGTGGCCTCTTTGCGTAGGCTAATTTGGGCTTTCTTACAGGATGTTGGCTGATTTCCCCACAGTGGCTTTCCCCAAAAGAGAAAGCCATATGGAAGCTGTATCCTTTTTTATAACCTGGTTTCAGAAGTCATATAGTATGATTTCCACTACACTTTAAGAGTTGGAGGAATCACAGCCTACCCAGCTTCAAGGAAAAGAGTAAATAACGTCTACCTCTTTGTGAAAAGTAGTGAGATCCCAGAAGAACATATAGGACCAGAAATATTGACGTGACCATTTTTTGTTGGAACAATGCCACAGTCAAGGACTGTAGTTTGTATCGCATGTGCTCTTTCAAACTCTCCCAGACTATAATAGACCATACCAACCTTTATTCATTCTGAACTCTAAAATCTGTGATCTCATTTATAACCAGTATATTTCTTTGAATTGTTAACCTTCCATGTGTATCTGTTTTGTCTCCCCAACTATACTACTAACTACTTCAGCACAATAACCTCATTTTCTCACAGGAAAGTAAGGTCTGTATTTTTATTTTCCACAGGACCTAGCACAGAGCTTTGGACATAGTAGGGGCTCAATAAACAGCTAGATTAAAGTCAGAGAGATTTAGAATGAAATGAGAGATATCACTTTTATGCATTATAAGTGAATGTGGTAGATAGTGTTTGGAAAAGATGGGAATGGGTGAGGCAGGGGATAGTGGATACAATATTATAGAAATAAGCGAGAAAGGATCACCTGGTAAACACAAATAAATGTGTTTATGAATGAAACATGAAAGCTTAAATGTAATAAGGCATGATGCCAGTCAAAGGAAGGTACTTTTTTGTATCTTATTTAATTTCAAATTTATATGTATTTTAAAACTCATTTAAGTAATCTGAATTATACTAATTGAAAGCATTAAATTTAACTCTGCTGGCATTTGAGAGTTGACCAGATGAATGTATCAATAAGGGTAAATATCATAACATGTATTGTTATATTTAAAATTATAATATTTGTCAAATGTGTTTAGCTATATTTTAAAAGCATTTTTTGTTTGGATTTATTTGCTTTTAATTTTTTTAATTTAAAAATAATGCATTCTGATAATAGCAAGCCAAGTTATATAAAGAAAACCCAAAAGGCTTTTTCTGCATTTCTATATTGAGGATTCCAATTTTGGTTTGGTATGTTTTCACAGCTTTTTCCATGTTCATTTTGTATACTTTCCACTGTTTATATGTTATTCTTCATATTTATTGTTCATGCCATAATTTATTATTTTTAAATATGCAAGGTTCATGGTTATGTCAATGGTAATTTCTCTGTGTGATGATTATGGGATCTGATTAATAGTTGTTGTTTTAAGAAGCTAATTCTTAGACTTTGTGGCAAACTGGTAAATTTGATATTTTAATTCAAAGTTGAGCTTTTTAGAGATACAGAAAACAAAGTGTTGACAGGGTAGGTTAAATTTTTCAGGTGAAAACTCTATCTACTGTATTAATTTGTTCACATATGAGAACATGTAGTAATACTATGATAGTGCTACATAAAGCTTTATAACTATTACTAACTAAAACACCAATGCTCACCAAATAACTTTCTGGGATCTCAGCCTTGTTAAACTGTTCTAAAGAATATGTGTAATTTACATTTTACTAACCATTGTAAAATTTCATACACTGAAAATTATTTGGACATAAAATTTTCATATGGATGGTAAATGAATAGCATATTGTCTTTCCAACTCTCCCCAATCTCAGAAATATTTCAGCCTTGGACCATGAAATGAAAGGAAGGGAATAAAGATTGGTCAAGTGAAAATAGTAAAGTTCTGAATTCCTATCTATAATAACTCATTTTGCCAGATCCCATTCTGTAAAACAGTTAAACTCATCTCTACTTATTATACATCTATGAGACTGAGAACTAATTTTCTTTACATTCACTGGCATAATTTTTTTTATTTCAGATATTAATTTAAAGACTCTGCCTATGTAAATATAACCTACCTGAAACTAAAATGATTCTTGGTAACATACTCAAAGTCACACATTTACATGTAACTATTATGTATTTAAGATGGCTGATCACACTGAAGTAATGAAAGGCATTCATCAATATCCAGGAGTTCGCTATCCTGTCCTTACTCCTAATCTTCAGGGTTTTCACCGTGCTGTAAGTGAGCTACTTATATTTCTAAAATTGATATGCCTCTTATTGTTTTAAAGATATTTATAAAGTTAAAGTTGTATCATGTGTAACTCACCTGTAACATAAATAGTATGCTAATGTACTAACATGAAGACATAGAGCTCCATGTCCTCACAGCATTGCTGGGGACTAAAGTGGTCTATATAGCTGGCTCTTCCAGCTTCACTGTTCAAAAGTCAAAACACAAAAGTAAAATTCTGCATTTTTGTGAAATTTTTTAGAAGTATATTTTGTGCTTCTTCTTAAGTAATATAGAACACTATTTAAGCATTTTTCAATGTAATTTGTATAGTTATTATTACTGTTGAATTTGGTAATTATTTTTGTCAACCTTTGTTGATCAGCTTTTTGTGTCTTATTTTCTCTCTCTGGGTGAAAACTAATTGTCATGTTATCTGGCTGTAGTTACTTTCCCTGTTTATCTTCTGGTTTCTTTTGATCCTCTGTGATTTAAAAATTTATATAATTTAAATAAAGCTTTAATAATTATATATATGAGATGTTCCTCTTCATTTTTAAGGTGTTATCCTTATATGGGCTTATTGCATAGGTTTTACAGCAGCTATTTCTGATATTAATGAATATTAATGAAAAATATTCATTATGTGAAACTGTATTATGTAAAGTTGAGGTTGTGGGGTATTAATCATATACTGTATTTTGTTAGAACCATTTATTTTTCCCTTGGGTTTGATTTGATAAAATTTTTATTGCATTGTTTAAAAAGTCATTTACAAAATTGTAAATATTGGTGTCATCTACTAATCCTAACAAAGTAAGAACGTATCTTACTTTGAATAAGGTACTGAAAGGACACTCTCATGTTAACTCAGAGGGGCAAGCACTGGAGTGGAACTAATCTTGACTTGGGAGTCAAGCAATTCTGTGCTCAAAATGTGACTCCAGAACTTTTACTCCCTGTGTGATATCATGCCAAGTATTTACCTTTTTGTGCTACAGCTGTTTCATCTATAAAATGTGCATAACAACACTTAGTTTACACAGCTGTTTGTAGATGACAAAAAGCACATCCATAGTACTAAAAACAAAACAGACAAATAGTAGATGTTCACTAACAGGGTTTTTATTTTAGAAATTGGAAATTTATTTTGGATACAGGCATAGAAGCCAATATTTTTTAAATGTTTGAGGAAAGATGAAAAGATAGCTTCTAGGTTTTTCTCTCCCCATGTATTTATTTCATTGTATTGTATTGTATTGTATTGTATTGTATTGTATTGTATTGTATTTTAGAGATGGAGTTTGGCTCTGTCACCAGGTTGGAGTGCAGTGGCGTGATCTCGGCTCACTGTATCCTCCACCTCCCAGGTTCAAGCGATTCTCCTGCCTCAGCCTCCCAAGTAGTTGGGACTACAGATGTATGCCACCATACCCAGCTAATTTTTGTATATTTAGTAGAGACGGGGTTTCACCATGTTGGCCAGGATGGTTTTGATCTCTTGACCTTGTGATCTGCCTGCCTTGGCCTCCCAAAGTGCTGGGATTACAGGCATCAGTCACCGTGCCCAGCCTCCCACCATGTATTAACAGGGGATTAGCAAGAGGGGAGAACGTAGGCAAAGTGCTAGAAATACATTAACGGAAGATCTTAAACATCTAGCTAAACGACTAAGAGGCTTGACATTTGAAAAACAAGTCACTGGAGAGCCTGGAGGAAGGAATAAAATGGACAAAAAGTACAAAAAGGAAATTGATTAGATTAGTATTTTGGATTTAAAGACTGGCAAAAGGATCAAAGCATTAGGTACAAAAGAGTATGGCTGTAGAAATCAGGATACAAAAAAATAAAAGCTAGATTAGGAGATCAAAGAAAAACTGGGGGCAAAATCTAAATGATGAGTTGGAAAAATATTTTTCTGTTGGATTGTAGGAAGAGAAGAAAAACAAAGTATTTAATATCTTCCATTTTAATAATTGGTTTGAAAATATTTTTTCATGGAGGATAAGGGTTTTATTGCGGTGCTAGTATTTTCCATAATTGGGGTTATAGTATTTCTGAAGATAATACATAATTTATAAAAGGCATAATTAAATAGAACATCCTCATTGTGTTTTTGTGGCTCATAGACTTAGGAATATTGCAGTTTGTGGATTATTCTGTTACTATAAAACGTTCTTACATTTTGAAAGAGTATATGTGTCAAGATGAGAAGAATCCAATTTTAAATTCTAAGGCAAATATTAAAGAATACATGTATGCCTTCATAAAGTAGTTAATCTTTCTTCTACCACTACCATTCACATTTTTGAAATTATTAGCTTTGGCTTTAAATTATGTTTTTCAGGTTGCTGCTGGAGCTACTGAGATATCAGTTTTTGGAGCTGCATCTGAATCCTTTAGCAAGAAGAATATTAACTGTTCCATTGAAGAAAGTATGGGAAAGTTTGAGGAGGTTGTTAAGTCTGCAAGACACATGAATATTCCAGCACGAGGGTACTTATGAAATCCCACATTCTGTTTTGTTAATGTTTATTGTTAAAGCTTACTCATAAATTATCTAGAGATTCTTATATCATTTATAAAAATATACATAGAATATCGTATTTCTACTTTAATCAGGGCAATCACTATATAGTTACATCTCATTAACATCATTGATGATTATTAGTGAGTATCTAGCTTGTGGAATGTGTAACGCAATTGAAATCAGAGGAACTAGCATGCAAATCTGGCATTATTAACTATTTTATTAACACTCTGTCACCCAAATGCAGCCCTCTCATCTCAGCCTACATGTGCTGGTAAGTTGGTATAAACTCACGACATCTTTTGGAAAAGAATTATATAATGTGGTTTTCAAATTTTTTAAAAAAACATGACTTTTTCTTCAAAGAGTATTTTATGTAGAACTTCAATAGAATACAGCAGACATAAAATTGAGCTGCTCTAGGAAATCATTTTACCCATTCTTTCTCCCCCTCAGTGGCTGACTTCTCTACTTCCTCTGGGTGATCCCAAAGCACCTCCAATAGCATCTTGCAGAACACCGTTTAAAAATACTTGATAAATTGCTTATAGAAGATAAATATAAACTTTCAGTTCTCTACTATTTTCTACTATATATGATTTCTGTAAATTTAGGGGTATCAGAGATATCAATCCTTTTCTCCTCGCCTTGCCTTTTTCTTGTAGAAACTTATCGGCTGTTCATTCTAAGAGCTGTTGATTACAGGACATGGAAAAGAAAAACTGACCCAAATCTAACTTCCACAAACCTAATTTTCTCTCTCAGGAGTTCAGAAATGGAATATCAAACATAGTTACTTGTATTGAAAAATTATGTGATTTTTGTCACTGAGTTCGCTATTTTGGGGTTCCTAGGATGGAGCCACATGCAAATCAGTGACAGGACAGAGTAGTAGAAAGAGGAAATGGAAAAAGGAGGCTCCTAGCGTGATGAGAGATATAGAGGGAGGAAGGAGAGAGGGAAAAATCTGCCTTGGTGCTTGACTACTTCCAGGACCAATAGTTGCCTCAAGTATTATAACCAGGCCTATGTGCTGTGAAACCTGTAATGCATTTTTGTGTGTGTTTGTTACTTAAGGAAGAATGTTTCTAAGACATTAGCTATTTTTTTCTATTAATTTCATACATATGGAGATATGATGAACACACATCTTAACAAGTTAACATGTATAGAGATTGGTAATAGAAGATTGAAAGCTGGGGATGGATTTGGGTGCAGGCTGTACTTCCCTTAGTTGAGGTGAGCAAAGTTCATAGTAGCAGGCAAGATTCATCAGTTAATGAGAAAGACAAGTGAGTCAATTTTGGCTGAGAGTATTATTGAAATGATTGGAATTTCAACCAAGGTGTTTTGGGGAAGCAATTAAAGTTAGACTATAGCTAGTAAAATATTTTGTTGGTTTTTTTTCTATTTATAATTTATTTTTCCTGTCCTCCATAGTAAGTCTACATGACTTTCTAAAATTTGAAATTACTTTTGTAATTAAGATAAATACATATCATGTAAGGACTATATGAGAAAAATATAAAATCCAAGATAATGTATTTCCAAAGACATAAAATAAAGGATATCTATTTTTCAGGCAAAAGTTACATAACCACAATCAAAAAGGAGAGATATGCTATCGGTTTCTCAATTCAAATATAAATAAGTTGTCTCAATTTTTTTAAAATAAAGAGAAAGATGAAGACCCTATTCTAGCTCACTGTGTGTTTAAAGTGTGGAGTACAAACTTTAAAATAAAGCAATTCTCACTGGACAGTTAAAAAGCATGTGACTATAAGAAGTAAAGTGCTTATGTGGCTTGCTCTTCAAAAATAGGAACAGTTTTTTTAGTGTTGAAAGATGGATGCAAATATAAGTTGTAGGAAGTAACTTTTTGTCATCTTAGCTTTCTCTTGTAAAATGGAATAGTTAATATAATTGGGCTAATAAAAATCTCAAACCCTCTGAATACTCATTGTTTGACAAATAATATTGCCTTATCAGAAAAATGACAACTTCTAATCGTGCTGTGGCTTAAAAAGCTTTCCAGGCTTTGATGAACAAGAAGTGACCCATGGTCAAACCAAATGAGTAGGGTACAGTGGGGACTTTTGTGTAGAATTATACTATAGATACATGTATGTTTTCCAATGGGGATTTTGTTCCTTTGGAGTACAATTCCTGAATTTTCTGAACACTATCATTTTCAGAAATATGCCTTTCCATATTTGAGTTCAGTAGCTATTTGTGTAGTTGAAAATATCTTCTTCCTCCCCACAATTTATACAAAGTTGAAATAAGATTTTATTTTTACTGGCAATCTCGATTTTAGGTATTCACCATTGTAAGTCATAAGCCATTAGTACCTATTTAAGGAAAGGAGCCATGCTCAACTATTTGAAACTGCAGTAGATGCTTCAGCATGTCTTGCGTGGCAACAGCTGCATCAACATATACTTGATAATCATCCAGAAAATTTACGTCGTCAGTTGTCAGCTTTAAAGGCCATAAAGCAGTACACATTTTATAAAAGCTCACTAAAACTATTTCAGTATTTTTATAAAAGCTCAAAAAACTATTTAGTATTTTTTTAAAATACTAAACTTTCATATAGTCCAAATAGTAGCTTTTATTACAGTTATGAAGGCTATTGTTAAATTCCGCCACACACGCACTGAAACACACACACACAACACATGCATATGTACACATTTTTAACACATGCTGAGAACTGTACATAACATCTGGGGCACATTGTGAACAGATACTATGCCAAATCAGTGACATAATGCAGAGTCAGCTAACTACTGGCACGTATACATTATATGTGAATGCAAAATGAAATATCTGCATTATGGATTTTATTATTTAAGGTGCAGTCCATGTGACTTTATTTTAAATCTAGATAATTTTTCTAATAACTGTCTAAATTTTAAAAGGTTAAGAAGGCAAGGAAAAATAAAAGCCTATGACAAATGTGATTATTTTCCTTTTATCAATGGTATTTATTGAAATAAATATCTATTGGCTTGCTAGGATCCTTTTAAAATTGAAATTCTTCAAGATAGGAAGTAGTGCGTTAATATATAAGATGTTCGGAATTTATTACTTTTTGTCTAAAGTGATTATCAGCTTCTGTTTATTGAAATGACATTAATCACATGCTCACTCTTTGTGAGAGTGTTAATTTGAAAAGAAAATTCTCAGTAAGTTGCCATTATTAATTTCATAGTTAAAATGATTATAAATAGAAAGTATAAAATTACAAGGTCAGCAGGTTTGTATATTAAAGCATAAACCATGAAAGTTTCTTTACATAATCACATCTTATACTTCTCATATAAAGTGGCTTGGAATCATCTGATTAACCTTCTGAAAGTTTATACTGAAAGTTCAAAGAAGAGTATATTTAACAATTTTCGTAGGAGCCACACAAAATTATTAATTCATCGTTTTAACGATTATAAAATTTTAAAGTGAATTGTAACGGGCTGAATTTTTTTTCAACTAATATAGACAAGCGTTGATTACTTTTAGATACAGAAAAACAAAGACAATTGTCAGGTGTGATGATGTCATATTTTAGTCATAATTTATTAATAAAATGAGCTTGGTATTTAGGAGGAGGTAAGGAGTCAGATTTTCCTAGAACTGTAATTAATCTAGGGTTTTCATTTTATCCATCTCTTCAGCTACTATTTTTCTTACTATTGACTTTCTTCTTATCCAAAACCAGTGGAAATTTAATTTGGTCTTAAATGCTTCCAAAAGGGATTGCATTACATATAATCATGAAGAATTTCTTTGATGAAAGATCCTCAAAGTAAGGAACTTCTTATTTTTTTATTTCTTATTCCTTCCTATTATTTTTTTTTAACTGGTTCAGCTCTATATGATTCTCGTCCTTTAAAATGGCAATCTTCCCAAGTGCCATGAAGTCAGGGCACAGTATTCTCCTTTAAAACACGATTTTTTCCCTTTGAGAGATAATTTATAACTAAACACATTTATTCAAAAACTTGCAACCTACTTGCTGAGTTAGCCAAATCATCTAGGTCACATTGCATTGAGTTTGTGTTTCCTGTTCTCCTTGTCTAATGTAGAATCTCAGTATGGACTCAGATCCTGACCCTGAAGATAGCAGTGTTACTGAGTGAGATAATGAGTCTCCTTACTTAGGGCTCCATTTTTAAGTACACTGTGACTAGTAGCCAGCATTTCTTATGACAGAGCATCAAATCCCTTCCATTGGATGATCTGCCTCCATGGTACACTTGCATTTATAGCATCATATTCATGTAAGTGGGCAGCAAGAAGCTGCCCGCAGAAGTTCCTTTCCAAATTCTATTGTTCAATTGAGGCCTAGGTCTGGAAGAATGATTCAATCATTATGTACCACCAAAATATGGTACATAAAACTCTAAAAATAAGACATATGTTAAAGCTATTTTCTTTCATACATATGGTTTGTTTAAGGGTTTATACTTTTAAGCTTTATATATTATTTTGGCACTGCTGTGTGCCAGAATAGCACATACCCAGCAGCAGTTAATATTTGTAAGCTGGGTTTGTGCAGTTGTGTCTAAATAGCTTTCATTTAGACATTTTGAGGTAAGAATGTGTTTAATCATTTCTCATGAAATTAGCATTAATGCTTTTTTGTCATTAAATACTCTCTTACTAGAGTATACCTTGCCATACCTGGGCAAGAAGTAGAATTGTAATTTATGCAAATAATTTCAAGAAAGTTAATGGTGTCACTAAGGTGTGAAATTAATTCAGCACAGATAGTGGTTGAATGGTATATGTTCATAGTCCATACAGTCACTTACAATAATTTAAAATTATTGTTTACATGCTTTTTCTTTCATTATATATGATGTCAATGTGAAACAAGCATGTAACAAAGTGAATTTAATAAATATGAAAAGAGAGTTGTGCAACATATGAAATAGAAAAATGAACATTTAGAAGGTTTTAT